GCTTCCAGAATCACAGCCACATGCAAGTCAACAGTGCACGACAAACTGACAAGATGAGTGAAGGACAGACACCAGCACTTTTTATTGTCAAAATTTTATATGTATTTTGCTAACTCAATTCTTGTCAGATATAATGGTTTCTAAAGACACTCACCCAACCTTCTTATCAACGGAAAAAACATTAAAGTTGTCAAGGACTTCATTCTTCTTGGATCAACTATCAACATTCATGGAAGCAGCAGTCAAGAGATCAAACAACATACTGCATTAGGCAGATCTGCTGCACAAGACCTTCTTAAAGTGTTGAAGAGCAAAGATGTCAGCTTGAGGACTAAGGTATGCCTGACCCAAACCATGGTATTTTCAATAACCTCATGTACATGCGAGAGCTGGACAGTGAATAAGGAAGACTGTAGAAGAATTGATGCCTTTGAGTTATGGTGTTGGAGGAGAATATTGAAAGTGCCGTAGGCTGCCAAAAGAACCAATAGATCTGTTTTGGAAGAAGTGTAGCCAGAGTGCTCCTTAGACGCCAAGATGGCCAAACTTCGTCTCGCATACTTTGGACATATTGTCAGGAGGGACCAGTCGCTGGAGAAGGTTTGGTAAGGTGGAGGGTCAGAGAAAAAGAGGAAGACCCCCAAGGAGATGGATTGGCCAAGTGGCAGCATCGATGGACTCAAGTGTGGCAACAATAGTGAGGTTGGCCCAGGATCAGGCAGTGTTTCGTTCTGCTGTGCACAGGGTCACTATGGGGCGGTACTGACTAGATGGCACCTAACAACAACAACAAAAGGCACTTTTGTTTGGGGGTTTCTTAGTCTGTCTTTGGAGTCCTGGTGTGGTGCTGTGGGTTAATGTGCTCAACTGCAAAGCCGGTTTGAACCTCAAGGTCAGAGGTTCAAACTCACCTCTCTTTGGCAACCCTATACAGAGTCACTATGGGTCAGAACTGACTCTACAACACCTAACAACAACAACAAAAGTCTAACTTTAGTCATTTTTCTGTTGTTTCTTTTTTTCACTTTTTATTAGCCGTTGCTTCTTGGTATTATCAATGTATTTGCTGTGTTTTTATTGTGATTGAACTGATTCTGCTTGTGCAGAGTAGAACAGCTCCATGGAGTGAGTGTTCCATGCTGTCACCTTTTAGAAGCACATCACCAGGCCTGTCTTCTGTGGCACCTTGGGCTGAATTTTAGTTAAATGGACTTCAGTGGCCCCCAGATTATTTTTGTTTGTCCCTCAGTTCTTGGCTATGGGATTTTTGTTTTTATAGCAGTGAGATGGTCCCATCCCCAAAAGTGAAGTGTCACTGCTTGCCTATCTTTTTGGTTGTTGGGGTTCTAGTGCATTTTTGACTCATAGTGACCCTATGGGAGGCACAGAGTGAAAATGCTCCCCAGGGTTCCCAAGGCTGTAACACCCACTGCAAGTCCATGCACCCTCCTCACAGTTCTTCCTGTTTGATCCCTTAGTTGAAACTGCCAACCGTATAGTTAGCTGAGGGCTTAACCATTACACTCCCAGAGCTCCCCTACTTACTTGAAGGCCTTCTTATTTCTCCCATACTTGGGGGGGGGGACATTTATAATATAAAAGGAGGAATGAAAATCAGCACCATTTGAGGTGTGGTTATCTCCCTGCACCCCCCACCCCACCCCCACACACACACCTTGTGAGGTGGAAGGCTTCCCCCTCTGCCAGCTGAGGATATGTGTTCAGCATACTGTGTATGGGCCACACAGCTAACCTGGGGAAAGTCAGGATTTGAACCCCAACCTCTTTTCATACCCCTCGCTGGTTAGTGGAACAAAGCATCCACCTGCTAAAGATCTAGACACCTTGAGTGGTGCTGGGCTTTTGTATGTTGTGCAAAAAATAGTTACCAGATGGGTTTCCATTGTGATGTCTCACGCCACCACCAGGTATTTTCCTAGTGCAAAGCCTGGCTAAATGGTCATGTCCTAAGTGCCCAGAGAAGGGATCACTTTCCAGAAAAAAATCACAATCTAGGTTGTTGTTAGATGCTGTGAAGTCGATTCTGACTCAGCTACTTTATGTGACATACTGTACTTTTTTAAAAAAAATGTTTTTATTGTGAATTATGTGATAGTTTACATGGGAGAACATTAGCTTTACATTCATCCTATAGTATATCATTACATTGCCATGGTTACAGTCCCCACCATGCATCAACTCATCAACACACAGACCCTCTCCCTCTCTGGATCTAAAGTCCCCAACTGCTCAGTCGCTCCACGTCATCGTCTCTGCCTCCATCTCAGGCATAACGGTTTCTCTGGGTAGGTTCCTGTTCTCCGCTCTTCTCCCTTGATGGTCCCAGGGACCTCTGCTCCTAGACTGAAAAGTTAATCACTCCCCTCCTTTTGCTACAAAATGTCTACCTTTATATTTCCAATCCTCAGAATCAGTCCTGATAACAATTATTCACTATTGTATCACAAGAGACTCATCCACAATTCCTTTCATCACCCCGCCTAGACAGATTGGATACTACTCAGTGGAGATTCGACCTTCTTTTACGCCCTCTGAATCTAGGTTCCCTCTTGAAAGTTTGTAAGCCAGTCACTTCTTGCCTTTGTAGACATAGTGTACTCTTGGCTGTAATCTCTATGGAAGCAGATTGCCAGATCTTTTTTCCGCACAACCATGGATGGGTTCAAACCACCAACCTTTTGTAGAATAAGTACTGGACTGTTAGCTGCAAGGTTGACAGTTCAAGCCTACCAGCTGCTCCTCGGGAGAAAGACGAGGCTGTCTGATCCCACAAAGATTTACAGTCTTGGAAACCTTATATTGGAAGTTTCTGTGAGCCAGAAGCAACCTGATGGCAATCAATTTGCTTGCTGATTTTTCTTTTTTGGTTTATGACAAAGTCCTGTGGACCCCCTACCTCGTATGAGATCTCTGAGCTCTCAGTTCTATCATTAACAAATGCTAAGGGTAAGGTGGATGGAGACCCAGGGTGTACAGGCTTAGTTACTGCTCCGACAGACACCCAAAGCTGACAATGAGTGACGCTGCTCCACTTGGCTTCCCAGTCTAATCTCCTCACTCCCTAACAAGGACCTCCCTACAATACAAGATGGATGCAATAATTAGCAATCTTCATACAAGGCAAAAATAATCTCAATGTGTCCTGATATTTTATGTGTCCCTGGATGAAATTTTGATTTTTTGACCGTTTGTTTGACACTGATATTAAATACATGCAGAAGAAAATCAGCCTACCATTATGCTGATATACCAGCATACCATTATGCTGACACCCCCCCCCCCCCCCAAAGTGCCCATCCAAACGTCTTAGGCCACATTTTAAGAGAATACTCAGTTTTCTGGAGGAAATTTTGAAATGTTTTGAGCAGTTTTATTTTAATTTTATTATCTTTTTCTTTTGGCTGCAATATAGATGCATTTTAGGCTTATTATGAATGGAGACTTTGGATTTCTGATGGGGTGAACCCATCCCTAGAGAAAGACATCATAGCAGGGATATTAGAGGGTCAATGAAAAAGAAGAAGCCCCTCAATGAGATGGATTGACAGTAGTGGCCGCAGCAAAGGGCTCAAACATTGGAACCATTGTCAGGACGGTGCAGTGTTTGGTTTCCTTGTACTTGGGATGGCTGTGAGTCAGAATGGACTTGGTATCATCTAACAACAACCAAAGCCGAGAAATACTGGAGGAAATGTAGAAGAGTCTTCAACTTATCACCAGAGGTTCCATTTTAATTGCGTTGTGAATCTCTTGTTTGATGCCCAGACTCATGGGAGGTGCACCCCCAAGTCTCCTGAGCCCGTTTATTACTTGTTGTGGAGTCAGTTTTGATTCGATTCCTGGTGCCCCGTGTGTGTCGTAGTAGAACGCTACTATACCCCAGAGGATTTCTAGTAACTGATAGTAAATTTCCAGGACTTTCTTCCAAGGTACTTCTGGGGGGACTCAAGCTGCTAACCTTCCAGTTGGTAGCCCAGCACTTAACCATTTGCACCACCCAGGGAGCTACCTATAAAGAGATAACATGAAATCTATCTTTCCTTGCCTTTGGTGAGAAGGCCCAGGAGCCCAAACCTTGAGGTTTGTCAGCCAATCAGAAGCCAGCTAATGGAGACCTGCTGAAGGCTGGTATGGCGGTCGCAGCAGGAGAGTGGGAAAGGGTGCTGGGGGCAGAGTGATGGGTGCCATGCACGAAGCGTTCTACTGGGACCAAGTGCCTCATCTCGTGCTTAGGGCCCTGTTTGTCTAGGAGAGCTCCTTGCTAAGAGCTCTCCTTGTGGAGAAATCCGTTGGTGGTCAGACTGTTGCAGACCTAGTCCGGGGAGCCTGCTTTCGCCAGCTTGCAAGTCCTGGCGGGCTGTGCAGAGCAAAGGGTCAGCCAGACCACGACCACCACCACCGTGCACCCCTGCCCCCACCCCAGGGCCCCAGAACACACACGCACTCACACACCCCGCCCCCAGCACAAGAGCATTTGAAAGCCACACAATGCGGGTAATCCCCGGAGGCAGGAGGAGGCTGGGGGTTACGCACGTGCGGAAGGAGGGTCTTCGCCCGCCCCCC